GTGTACAATTACGAGGTGTGCAGGACGACAGACTCCAGAAAGAGTGACTGTAAGTTCGGCAGAGCTGGTAGTCAGAACGTGCTGATMATGGACCCCAGTTCTACAGGGACGATGCAGCGGATACAGAGTGAAAAGAGCATCCTGGATGAACCAGACTCTCCTCTAGAGGTGAGTTGAATAGGGCTCAACTGTAATTTTAACGTGTTGCCTATTTTTGTAGTTTCTTTCGTGTTATACTGGGCGCCGAATGCAGTCAGCACCATGGACAGAGGCATTGTAATGACCTCTTTGCGTTTCTTATTGCTTTTTGCACGTGTGTTTGCAAGCATCTGTGTGGTTTTATATGCAGGGGGTTTGGTGTTTGTCCAACCTTTCCCTGCTCTGAATGATTGTTACTTCATATTTATTTTGTTGAATACTCATAACCTAATATTTTATGGTTCAACCCCCACGCTGTTTATGTAATACATCTATTAGCCTTTAGTCTATCTATTCTTCTATCTATCAATCTCTCTATTGATCTGCCTGTCTTTCTCTTTCTATCTGTCCATGTATAGATACATTTGTTTGTCTATATATCTATATATTATACATCTATACACAGACAACTATACATGCAAACAAACAAACATGCATACATATAGTATATACATGCAGTACATACTTACATAGTCTATATCATACACTTATTTGATTCTCACTCATAGGTGAAAGGTATTTTGTGAATTTAGCTCTTTATCAAACATTAGAATCAATGAATTATTTATTTTTTTGCGCTGAGCCATATGGAAATTACATCTTTGGTGTTAAATTCTGGTTATTAGATTTCATACTCCTGGAACATATAAAAAGGTATCCTCTCTAGTACAGTGATTTTTGTCCAATATTTTTCTGTAGTTCATTACACTGTACTCTTAGGGCCGCTGTTGGCCAGTGTGTTGATGTTTTCCGGCAGCTTTAAAGAGAAGCCTCCCCCATCACGATGATATCAGACAGAGAAAGAAAGGCAGGGTTATAACGTCGACGCACACTTAAAAGGACGACAGTGCAGTGGCTCTTTTTTAACCGATGTGGATAAATATTCAGTGACTTGTGGATTTCTAATGGACTTTACATTTCCGGACTTTGTGGGACATAATTCGTCGTAGTAAATAGCACGAGGACAATGTCGGGCAGAACAATGAGACGGCAAGTACTGTTGTTTTTCCTGGTCCTTCATCTCAGTTCAGGGCTCGGCCAAGTCAGCTACTCCATACCTGAGGAAATGTCCAGTGGCTCTTTAGTCGGTAATATAGCTCAGGATTTGGGTTTAGATGTAAAACGACTGAAATCAGGTAAAGCTCGTGTTTATACGGGAGACAGTGCGGGGTACATCGAGCTGAATAAGGAACGTGGAGTCCTCCTTGTCAAAGACAGAATCGACAGAGAAGCGATTTGCAGACAATCTACGCCCTGTGCTTTACATTTCCAGATTATTTTAGAGAACCCGATGGAATTCTACAGCGTCACAGTCGAAATAACAGACATAAATGATAATCCGCCCACATTTGAAAAAAACGAAGTCAGTTTCAAGATCAGCGAATCTGCTGTTATTGGAGCTAAATTTGTTTTAGATAGAGCAATAGATCTTGATGTCGGCAAAAATGGTCTTCAAAAATACGAGCTTAAGCCCACTGATAATTTTGTTCTGAAACGGGACAGTCATGGTGACGGAACAGAAAAGATAGAGATGATTTTACAGAAGCCTCTCGACAGAGAAAAGGAGGAGTTGGTGTCTTTGGTTTTAACAGCGTTTGATGGAGGAGACCCGCAGATGTCGGGGACAATTCGCATATTTATCACAGTGTTAGATGCCAATGATAATGCACCTGTTTTTTCACAGTCCACTTACACAGCCACTGTTTTTGAAAATGCCCCAGAAGGGACAGCTGTCACCAGCGTGACTGCAACAGATGCAGATCACGGAACGAATGGTCGGATAAAATATTCAATTGCCAACAGTTTGGATCAAGCTCATGCACTGTTTAAGATAGACGAAGACAGTGGTGAAATTAGGTTGATTGGAAAAATAGATTATGAAACTGCGCGGAATTACCATATTAACATACGTGCAAGTGATGATGGTGGACTGACAGATTCATGTAAAGTCATTGTTGAACTAGTGGATATGAACGACAACAAACCAACTATTAATGTTATGTCGAAGTCAAATGTGATATCTGAACACTCTAAACCGAAAACTGTTGTAGCAATGATGAACGTTCAAGACCCGGATTCAAATGAAAACGGCAAAGTTAAATGTTTTATCAACGATAACACTCCTTTGACCATAATGTCGACATCAAATAATTTCTATAGCTTAGTGACAGACAGTGAATTAGACCGAGAGACAGCATCAGAGTATAATATCACAGTGACCTGCTCTGACGAGGGAGTGCCCTCCCTCTCCAGCAGCGTCACTCTCACCTTACAGATCTCTGACGTGAATGACAACGCGCCTGTCTTTGAGAGGAGCTCATATGAGGCTTACATTGTAGAGAACAACACACCAGGTCTCTCTATATTCACAGTGAAAGCCAGAGACGCTGACTGGAACCAGAATGCCCGTGTCTCTTACATACTGGAGGACTCCTCTGTTAACGGAGTGCCAGTCTCCTCATATGTGTCCGTTAGTGCTGA